AGCCAAGAGCTCATGGGGATTAAGCTAATTTTTAAAGGAGCAGTGATCACTAAAACACTGTTTGTCATTTCTCCGTTTTTCATTTGACTCGATAAACAGTGATCAACCCACGATTTGAATATTTCACATGCAACTTTTTCTCATATTTTATCGATGATTCATTTATTAATCACTAAATAATACAAAACAGAGAAAGTGTTGAACCAAATTTACCTCTAAAGAATAATCCAATAACATCTGAAATTAGAAGCGAGCAGGCACAGCTCATTAACGGAAAATAACACTCTTATATTTCGTAAATTACAGTTATGACTCCCACAGTTCCTGCATTGGAATCATACATTTGTCTGATTGGTCGTCACCATGTCTTAATATGTATGCTTTTAGTTGCTCTATGGCGTTCACTCCAGGCAGAATTATCATCACAACAAAACGGACCAATCCAGTATATTTTTCCAAGTGATTTTTAGCAATTTGAATAATAAATAAACTTTGCATGAATGCCCTGAATATGCACTGAAACAATAATAATCAAATGGTTAGAGATCAAAACCTTGTAATTGCATCCAGTGTCAGTTACTGAGTCATCCACTTTGATGACTTACTTAAACAACATAAACCGGCGGTTCTTCATTCCTAGTTATGTGGTGTCATACTAGTGCATCATGCCGTGTAGCTCATGCCGTGTAGCTCATATTTTATGGCCACCCTCTGCCAAAGCAGCAAAACCTGCTGAATGATTTGTTGCATCTTGGAAGAATGACGGCCCTGTGACAGTTTATTTGTCATATGAGCAGGTGTGATGGACGAAACACGGATCTATTCAGTGTTTAAATTGCAAATATTTTTGAAAGGAAGTTCCCCCTCACCACATTTTAGCCAGAAAGTCATTCCAGCTCTTTATAAACCTCTGTAAAAAATACATGTTTTGAAAGGCAGTTTAATGTTTTCTGTGTCTTGTTTCCACTGTTCCAAAAACGTACCAAACTGTGACCTCAAAACCGTGATTTTTCTTCACCTTTACATCCCGAGTAAATGTAAACACTGCTGGACAGAGCAATGACAAGAAACAAAGCTATAAGACTTTAAAATGTTGTGTTAATTTCATGTGCTGCCCTGAAGCTTCAAGTGAATTATTATCTTTTTCAAACAATAGAAATCCTCAGCATTAATCAGACGGTCATTATATTGTTCCAGTTCTGCATTACAGTGAACTTACTTAGTTTCCCTAAAAATATGTTTCTAACGTTTTGATAATTCCTGCTACATATTGCAGAGAATAGTCAATGTCTTCATAAAAGTAATAAAAAAACCACCAATTTCATTGTTCACAAAAGGAAAAGTGTCCCTGATGATGTACAAACAAATGAGCTGGTTTTAAAAACTGTCTGTGGTGATGCTGACGACCTGCGGCTGCACTCTGTTCTTGTTACGACTGAAGAGCCAGGCTGCCCTCCTGTGGCGGTAGCGCTTAGAAAGCAGCACATAGAGCACAGGGTTGACACAGGGGTGCAGGTATTGGAGCACAGTACAGATAAAGTAGAACATCTCCCAAGCCTGTCCATGACGATACAGCCCCATGTATACACAGAGCTCCAGCACGTAACCAGGCAGCCAGCACACTGAGAAGGTGGCAGCAGCCAAAAACACCAGGACGGAGGCTCTGCGGGTGTTCCTGGCACTGGACACTGACATTACAGGGCTCTTGTGGAGGAAAAGACCCAGGCGGACATAGTTGAAGGCAATAACCAGCATTGGAACAAAGTAGTAAAGTACGAACTGGCTTAGGACCACTTGGTAGTGGTGCTCATGAATGGTTGGAAGGCAGAAGGAGGAGGTTGCCAGGCCCGGGCTCAAGCTCTCTTTGGTGGCAAACATTCGCAGTGGCAGGCTGATGAAGAAGCTGAGGGCCCAGACCAAGACAAACATGAGAATGACCAGGTCCATGTTGGGTGGCTGGTATGGGTTGGTGATAATCATGGCACGGGTCATAGAGACGGCACACAGCGAATAGGTGCTGGCCGCCAGGCTAAAAGCGAGCAGGAACTGGTAGACCTTGCATGACGTGTCGCCCAGAGGCCAGGAGTGGCTGACAACAGAGTGCAGGGTGAAGGGGATGAGCAGGAGGGTGAGGAAGTCGGCCAGAGTCATGCTGAGGAGGAGGATGTCAAGGCGGTTCTTACGCAGAGTGTTGTACTTAGCAAACAGGGAAAAGACCAGCAGGTTGGCACAGAGCCCAATGCCCAGGATCACTCCACAGGTACAGGCAAAGATCAGCCCATAGGTATTAGGGATAGCCATTTTATCTGCAGCTTTACATCACCTTTTTGAGGGGGAAAAATGAATTACTATTCATTGTCTTTATTTGCTTGATGATTTATTTAACAGGCACAGTGCACTTGTTGTTAGCTGTACTTGTGTTAGCCAAGAGGCTTTTCATCTAGTCCCTGAACAGATGTTACCCAAATGAAACATAAAAACGTATCACATTGTAACTGCTAATTCAATCATTTCTAAGCATAAGGTAATACTCATGTAAATGAAACATTCAGGACACAATTGTATGACATTGACAGGTGCTATTTAAAACATGCAACATCGCCTGATATTAAACCTAACAAATTTGTCTAGCTTTGTCTTTGGGTTGTGGATTGTTAATCTGACAGAGGAAAACATGTGACATGATCTTGAATTACACAATATCATTAAATGCTGTGCAAGGCAAACATTATAACAATATCTTTATGAACAAAATTATTTTTGATTGTTATTCTGACTCAATTTGCAGCTTTTTTTTAGCTATATTGTATAATTAGAAATAAATTAATAGCATTATTAAAACGCACCACTTCTATTATTTTGACAAACTCACCCTGTCTTTAATCAAAGCATTGTCTTCTAGCTCATGTTGTTGAGTGGACTATCTTCATAGTGTAAACAGGAGTGTCCTCTCTGGTGTCCATCCTGTTAAACTGGACTGAAGCAGGGAGAGGTGGCAGCCTCTCAGGGCTCATTACAAAGTGTGATTACTGAATGTGGAGGGAGGAAAGGCAAACATCACTCGCGTCAAATCGATTCTGGTTGACTAAGTTTAAAGAGAAACGGCCTCTCGTCTGATGCTGAGACAACTGTGACATGCATCACACCCTCAGTGGAAATAGTTTATGAAATCAACATCCCTATCCTTCGCTCACATTGAGTACCGATGGGCCTCCTTTCATGCACAGGGAAACCCTTCCATCCAGGATGCAGCGGCGTCTCTTTGATCAGTCCAATAAAAACGCATGCAATTTCACTCGACTGGCTACCAATGGCCACCCAAATCAAATTCAAGTCACTCATACTTGCCTGTACAGACTGACCTCTGGGTCTGCAACCATGTACTTCAACCCAGTCATACATGTGTAATGCTCCATCTCAGCCGCTGCGTTCCTGTAAGTAACATTGTTTCACCACCCCTACACACGAGGCAGTCATAGTCCAGACTGTTCTTGTTTGTGGTTCCCCAGTTGTGGAAGGAACTACTTAATCATTTTTTCCTCGCCAAATAAAAAGACAGAATCGTGAGGCACATAGGGCACAAGGAGGTGCTCAGAAACGCAAAAGCAGCGAGCAAAAAACTTTACTTTCAATAAAAACAATCACAGAAATATTTAATTTCATAAAAATAAGCTGTGTAAGCTGTGACCTTTGCAAATATGGCACTTCATGAACATAGTAAGGATGATTCATTGCTGCACCATGGCATCATTATTTCATTGGCAGTATTGTTTTGTGTTGTTATTGAAAAATATTTTTGGCCTGGCAGCCTGTAAGTCATTATAGGAGCAACCTGATCCACCTGAGCTCATCTCTCCTGAGAGCACCTCCTCTCTCAACACCCTAACATTCCTTACTTGCACTTGCTGTACACTTCTCTACCTGATCTCCTGAACTTTGCCATATTGAATAGATTCAGTATAAGTTTTTACTTCAGTGTTTCTACTGTACTGAAGCTTTAGCGTTGCTCTCAGTTGTTTGGCACGTTGGATAAAAGCATCTGCCAAATGAGTAAATAAAATAAAAGTTGATCATGCTCCACAGATTAAAAATTCCGTCCATTGATTACGTTCTGTGTTCCTCCCCTGCTCTGAAGATATTAATGTCTCTGTCCGTTGTTGGATTGATTTCTTCGGTGTGAGCTGCAGGCTCCTGGCGGCAGCTTTATCAGGCTTTCCACAGCATTTATGATTATGTCAGCTAATGGCCTATGGTGTACACTGCTGCTCTTAGCACAGGATATAGCAGACGCTGATGCATTTGCTAACCCCTCCATTACCAGTTTCTGTGCCATCCAGTCGGCAGCTGTTAAAAATGCCACATGTTCTCAAGTGGGACATTAACAGCTTCTCTGTGTTCTGCTTGTGCCAAGTCAACAAAAACATTTTTTTTTGCAACCTGTTCAAATAAGGTTAAAGGTCCTGATAAAAAAACAAGACAGGAGCATGAAGACTAAAGGAGGTTGACTTGCTCAAAGACACTTCAGCAGTGAAAGATACTTCGTGTCAGGCTTATGGTCATTTCTCCCCCTTGTTGCTCTATAGTTATTGTTGATTTATTGGTTCTAGCCCCCTACCCTTTAAGGCTAAGGGTAATAAATATTGAATGGATGGACTAACAGGGAACTACCACTCAAATTTTGGATGAAGGACGACAAGTTACACCTGAGACAACCCATGCTTAAAATATGCACTCATGGGGAAAATAAGTTTTCTACTTGTCATAAATGATTAAGTGCATCACATTCATTTGACTGATGCTTTTTACCAACACTCATGCACCATCAATGATTGACTCTCTTTACCAGCTGAGCTACATCATATAAATGGTACGACTTAATGAGATAGGACTGGTAAACAAAGACACCACGAATCAAAAATATTTCTAATGGCTACATTTTTAATGTTTGAATAACTGGAAACATGTACAGTATGTTCTCAGTGCAAGTGAAGAACATGAAATGAATCTGACGGTCCCTGACTGCGGCTAATTCTATAAAAATATAAACTATGATGCAGAATGATGAGAATGGGTTTGATGAAGCATCCAATAAGTTACAAGTCCATGAGGGATTTAGGGTGGGAGAGGAAAGCACGTCCATCAAAACAGAAACATCAAATTAAAACGCAACCACAAAAGAACATTTACAGGATATAACTAAAGTGCATTATGGAATTTAGTCAGCAGCACCATGATACATTCACAAAATAAATACACACTTTCAAAGTGAAATAAATTATGTCAGAACAGTTCAAACAGATGTATTAAATGAACAGTTTGCAACTGTAAGTCCATGATAGTCAACAGAGCCAAACTAAAGTAGACCACTCAGCATCCAGATGTTTGAAGTTACATTATATTCAGGCAATAAATACTTCCTTCTATGCTCTACCTGTGCACACTCTTTAGAGATTATAACATACTGTGTGCTTTGTTTTGGATTTAATCAGGGTGAAAGAGGCGTGAAAATTATCCAAATAAATATGGACCTAAGAAGATGTGATGATGAAACTCCAGGCTGTATGAGATGAGATTGCTTTAAAATGGTACACAGATAGCAATATTATCATAAAAGCACAGCCCCGGGCCCCTTATATGACTGTGATGGAGTCCGCTGTGGTTCCAGTCTGTCAGACCTCAGTCCAGCTGGAGTAGTGTCAGTATCTTAGTGCAGTACCATATAAAGGCTAGTAGGAGTCTCTGAACCAAGGTACCGCATCCTTCATGGTTCCTTTGTTGTGACTGTGGTAGACCGTGCGCGTCTCCGCCTCTTGTCATTCTCCCTGCGCCGGCCTAACCTCACCTTTTTTTTCCGCTTTGTGGCCACTTTTAGTGGCTGGTCCTTATAAGCCAGTTCCTTGTTGGTCTCCTGGGGCAAGTTTGGGCCCTCTTTGTCCAGCCTGAATCTGTCAGGTAGGTTTTTGGTGGCCCCTGGGGGCTTTTGGTGTAGAGCATTCCCACTGAAGGTTTGGCTCGGTGTTCTACTTTGCACAGGCGGTGCTTGCTCATCGGCCGTGTGCACCTCCTCCAGCAGCTCCTGCAGCCACATTTGACGCTTGAACTCCTGCAAGGATCGGCCCTTGTCATGCATCAGCTGGGCGTGACTCACTGATCTCCTCCTTAAAACAAAAAAAGTAATGAGCACTATAAATGAGTTCAGTGATCTCTGTTCTCTAATTTCTGATTTCTCTTTGTTTGTCTGTAATATAAGTAATACAAATTTGTAATTTCTGAATTTGCCTATTTTGTATTTTTGTCCCTTGTTGTTATATCATGCCAGACTGTGGAGTTGAGTTTATGTGTGGAGCAGTTAGGCTTCATTAAAGCTCACAGTACAGTAGGTGGCAGCATTAACAAGTTTCTGAGAGCCATCAGGAGTCTGAGCTTAAGACCTTCAAAAAAGTCAGAGCTGAAACAGCAAAAAAAAAAACCTGTATGCTACTCAATCTATTCAGATCTGCTGTTTTGATTTCTAAATCAGGAAACAGGAATTTCTTTATCTATGCTTAAATAGCTGTTAAATATTCTTTCATTTTCACATTCCTTATTGCATGTCATTCATTTATTTTTTTATGCTTTTTAATATCAATGTTAAAAATAACTTACGTTCTGCTACTAAGTGCATCAACTGGTCTCCCATCAAGAGTCACTGGGGAGCACAGCAAGAACACAGCCAGACTCCACTGATGAAGCAGGACTATGGAGCACATCCTTAAGCCAAAGAGCTGAAGAAAACAAGTAACATTATATTAGTCACTTTTCTTAATAAAGCACATTTAATTAATCCAACTTTAATTAATGAATTGATACTTAATTATTTAGTCATTTAAAAGTTTATGTGGCTTGTGTGAAAATAACACACAAGCAGGTAAGATCTCTCAGGTGGCATAAACAGTTAATAAGAGAGTTGGACTTACATGATGTAAATTGGTGCAGTGAAAATCCACTAAAAGCTCAGTCTGCGCGCTCTTTGGAGATGATCTTGATGCAAAAATCAATTTACAAACCATTCAGAAAAATTACCCAGCCAAATGCAATTTGGCCAGTTCAAAACTTGTGTCCAGATCCATTGGTGTGAAGACAGCCTGGGGAAATCCCCCCGTCAGTGTGCTCCATTCATTTGCCTCCCAACAGTGTGTGTTGAGCTATTTATTTCTCCTCAGCGTCCCAATTAAAACAGGGATAAAGATAGAAACCAGCAGCACATGAGCTGCAGAGCTGCAGAGCTGCAACTCCTCTCAGTCCTCAGCGGTAATCTCACGGGCTTGTTCAGTCCAGCACTGTGAGCGAGCCTGTGTGAAAGAGGCACTGAGAGAAAGCCAAACTCCTCTTTGGGTGAAGATGCAGGCACTACCTTCGCATGTACCCATTAACTCCAGTCCCAACACCCTCCCCAAACTCCCAACCCTCGCCTCTCTTCCCCCAAACCCCTCACATACACCTGCTGTGACAAGAAGGTGGCGCCCACACTGCATCCAATCCGACCTATAACAAAGAGCATATTAACCATGAGCTTGGACTTTTTTTTGATTTGTAATCTATTTCAAATTGCTGCAGTGTCTACATGAAGTGTATGAATAACTCATGGAGGTCAGAAATGACAGGTGTGCACCAATGGAGGTAATCATTGGTTACCAAGCAGAGAGTGTACAGTATGAGGGGAGGGGCAGGGTTACTCCAAAGTAAACAGCCAGGCCTAACCACTTTCCCAGGGGAGAATGACCATAACCTCAGAGAAACCTAACCCACAGCGTCTCACTGCAGACCTTTCAGTTCACCTCCACTCTGCCTCAGCAAACCAGCTAACCACCAAATGGTTACAGTGGGCTCTGAGGTATCTCTGATATTCAGCTAATAAGGAAAGTGGAGAGCTTTGCATTGAGGCGGCCGTACACAATCCCGCGTTCACTGTATGTTCAGGCACTGAGCCCAGTATTTAAAGGGCCACTATGTAGGGTTTGGGGGATCTGTTGGCAGAAATAAAATAGAATTCATAGTTATGTTTTCATTAGTGTATAATCACTTGAAACTAAGAATTGTTGTGTTTTTGCTCGTTTAAAATGACCCCTTTATATGGGGAGGGGCCTCTTCCACCATGTAGCACCACCATGTTTCTACAGTAGTGTAAATTCTTACAGGCGTGGAATGGAAGGGGTGAGAGGAAGGGCATTGGGTTGGTTGCAATCTGCAACCTCACCACTAGATGCCACTAAGTCCTATAAATAGGTAACGTAAAGCTTTCAGCTGTAAATGTAACATGTGCTAAAGGTCAGTGGTCTAATGTCAGAGGTGGCTCAGGAGCTACAAGTGAATGTATTTTTAGCATCATCACATTGATTGACAGAATACTACTTAACATTTGGAGTAGCATATGCAACAAAGGGATGTCATATTTTTCTATTTTATCTTGTAAAGATTTACAGTTGAACATGGTTCATTTCTTCAAAAAGAAACTGAATTACCTCACTAGTAGTTTTGCATACATCCCATATAAAAAGGATTTTGTAAAATTTTCCTTTAAATTGTGATTTTAATCTGGCAGGTCTCCCTGCACTTTATGTTGTAATTGTATTTCTAAAATGGGAAATGTGATTTTATTTAGTTGTAACTTGATAAACATAGAAATCAAAATACTTAGTTTGTTGTAATATTGTATATTTGACAGTTTTATATATGAGACAAGAAACTGAGTTGTGATTGCACATGATCGTTAATCTCATTGGTCACCTTTCTAAAAGTAATGTTGCAGGTGAATTTGTGACAGACATTTGTTTATAGCTAACAAAAGAGGCTGTACTTCGACACAGCATGCTTTGAGCAGAGTGCTTACATCAACATGCACACAATGACACTACTAACACGCTGTGAAACTGATGTCTAATGCAACACTCTGCCAATGTCTGAATTTAGAAGTGAAGACCGTAAACTCTGCATGTTGTTCCACCTGAGGAACTCCTGACTCCTGACTGGGATCTTGACTCACACAGTTCGCCAGGTCTTTCCACAGCACTCACAGTGAGATGAATGAGTTCGTTCAAAGGGGTCTCTGCCTAAATTCTAATTGGACTTGAATAAAAAATAACAATTAATATGAAAATGGGTATTAGTGTATGTGTACTCAGGTTTTGCGGGAGTCTGTGGTTTTAGTCTGTTTATTATTACGGAAGCAGCTTGTTCTCAACCCAGAGTAAAGTTCCTGTGATTCATTTCTGAGTCATGACCCCTCTTTTGAAAAACAATAGAACAACATGTGTTAATAAAGTTAGCACATGGTCAGTTCCTGACCTGTATTGGTCTTAAAGTGAAAAAACTCTTAACTGTCTTAAATATATTTTAAAAAATGTATGCAGTAGGTATTGAATATTTTTAGTTTCAGTACACTCCACTAAACTGTGGGAAAGACGAACACCTATTGTCTCAGTGTGTAGTTTAAGGCTTAATCTCTACTCTTCATCTAATCTTTAATTATGGGGAGGTAGTCTGGGACTCAGATATTCCTTCATATCCATGGAATTTGACAGAGGTATTAAATAACATTTATTATGCTCTTAAAAAGCCTTAAATTTAACTTGTTGAGACCAGCAGAAACTCGTAACCAGTACCCTCTATACTTTATACTTACACTCAATCTGCATTTCTCAATTACCGATGCAGCTCAATCACCAATCAATATATTCTTAATATCCCCCCAGGATGAATTGTAATCCCCCTTCCCTTGGAATCCCCTGACTTTTCACATGTTTTCATTTTTAGAATTTGTAATTATACATTATGTACCAAGGGTTTAGTGCTATAGAATGTTAACATGCTAACAAGCCAATCCAAACACTGAACACATTAAACATAAACCTTTTAGCTATCAGGATGTTAGCATTGTCATTGTGACCCTGTTAGGGTGCTCATTCCAAACAACACTGCAGCCTCACAGAGATGTAGCTGCAGTCGTGTCCCTCTTTTTCCATTTATTAATTTATTTTTTATACTTTTGAATCTCTTTTTTATAACAGAGTTATTCATAAAGGTGTGAATAACTCTGGGCCATACAGCACCTACTATTTACCTGCAGTATATTCTGCTTATCAGAAACATTAACCAGTTCACTCCTCTTTAGTTTAGTGTCATCTATTATGATCCTTGTGACACTTTCACTATGACTAAAATCGAAGGTAAACATTGGAATAGATAAATGTTTCCACTGTAATATGAAAACACTGTGTCTTTGTCTACTTTAGGGATTCATTATAAACTTGATCAAGATGAATACAGTCCATTCAAAGACCTGAGTCACTTCTGTGGTTACTGTACCTTCTCGCACTGTTTTACAGGATGGAATTACTTGCATTTCTTCTCATGAATAAAGCTCATAAATTATTTGTGTGAGCTGTGATGAGTAGTAGAATCACTTCAGGCGAGACTGCAGAGCAGTTGGTGGTAAATTACTTAAGAGAGGGCTCAGTATTTTACAAGCAGTCATGATTCAATTCTGCAAGAGGTCCAGAAGGGGGTTTGGGGTTGGGACAAATATATGGCAGACCCCCCTGCTGTCTCCAAAACTCAGCTTTCTTCTGTTTCCAACGTGTCTGCCCCAAACTTCCAACACTTTAACATTTGGTAGGAAAAAAATACCTCATTTGATTCCATTCTGTAAAGACTTTACCTGCAAAAAAATATGAAGAAAAAAAAATCCCATTTCCTGGCAGACGGCAGCATATGGAACAGGAGCCAGGAAAGCTGCTTTTGATTCATGCTAAATTGCACTCTCAACACAGAACAGTATTCCTGTGCGTTTTTCATCCCTTTCACACTGCACCTACTTCACGTTCACACATACAGTACACACCACCCACCCACCCCAGTTTCAAAGAACTTGTACCCGCCTGTTCTCAGCAGCCAGCTCATACACACTCTGCATCCAGAGAAACACCCTCATACCACGTTTAAATTCAGCATCTATTTTTGGATGTGATGTACCCTATTCACTATATTGGCCCACCCAATTATGTCATAAACCCTCTCTAGTCGCAGCAACAGTTCCTTTTGTTGTGGAGTTACATTCACATTCACAGTGTACTTGGCAAGAACATTGCAATTCTGTCTGTGCCAGTAAGACGGTGTTAAGCTCTAAGTATCCTCCATTATTATTTTATTACTGTGTCACGGCACCCCACCCTTTAAACTCTTAGTACTGTTCCAGCTTTAAGTGAAAAGTGAAGACAAGTGAAGGCATGTGCTCTAAAAACATCCAGTACATGTTGAGAAAATTCAGTGCAGTTTCAGTTGAACATGACATTCAGATGTCATACGTAACCGTATATCCAGCTGTAAAGAACAGAATCAGAGCAAATACAGTGTATTTGATAATATTCTCTTTATGATGCAGTCGGGGCTTTGATTGCTCACCAGTTGTCCACATGAGAACTTTGGGTTTGTTATCCTGGAAAACCTCACTTGAAAAATGAGTTTAGCAGAATTACTTTCCCCTCTTAATGGTTTTTTAACGGTGAGTTATTGTACGGGCTATTTGAATTAGTTCATGTGAGGCATGCTTTATAATGTCATGTTGTGGGCAGTTGGAAGAGTTTCCTGCTAATCATCCACACCTACCAATCATAACTGTCATCCCAGGAATGTACTTTATTCCTCTGTACCTTCTTCTTGGTCAGCTATTTCCAACAGCTCAGCTCCTGAGGCGGGCGAAAGTTAAAATTGATGCACTCTGTTCTCTTTTCAATCGGTGGTTTATTGGAGCCTAAATCATGTCACTTTTCTAAAAACCTGGACACCTGACAATGACCTGTTGAAGGAGAGAGAGCTCTTTGTCAAATTTACATTTAAACATGAAAAATTTACTGAGAACTGCAGTTTAGTTACTGTGAACTCCAGCTGACTGAGAAGGGATTTATAAATAACTCTGTATATGTTCCTCAGTTATCTGTGCTTTATATGAAATCACTGCAATCAATCTCTACATTTTGTGTGTGCGGAGGCTATAATGTGTTGCATACTGACCTTTTAAGATCAAAACATATTTAAAAAGTTATTTTTTACATCCTAATTTTAACTCCATGTGCTAAGAAAGCAAAGG